ATTCATACGATTGATGGGTGTGGCGACATAAATTTTATGCATTAAATCTATCATATCCACCCTACGAGAAACAACAATTATCCTTCTTCTCCCCCCTTCATAACAAATTCTGTTTGATTCTTGGATAATATTTCTTCCCCAGTGACAAAAAATGGGGAAGTTTTCGGCACTCATATTCTATCAAAAAATCATCTCAAGAAAACTAAGACTTATGACGTACAATAAAAATTCTACGACAATTTATACTCATTCTAACAAATTGAATTAAATCATATGTCTCGTTTGCATGTACTAATGGTGATATATTATCAGATAAATACATATTAATAATGTGCTACAAAACTCTTTGTCAAAGAGTTTCCATATATCAAACTCAAATTCTACAAGCACAATGAATAATTCATATGAACAAAAAATATAAATTCAAGCATACTAACAATATCACCAACTTATATATTTCATAATATCAAACAACAAAAATATAATTCAAAAAAAATGGAAATTTTGAACTGAATCAACAAAAACCCTAAGTTTAGCAAAATTGATGAAATACCTCAATTGCGATAGATGAAACTTGGTACCAGACTATCAGAAAGTATGAAAGACATCTGATTGGACTGTATCACTTTTTCCCTTGATTTGAATACTCATTAGGACAAATTGTTAGGTCCCTCAGACTTTGATATAAGCTACAATTGAAAGAATTAGTTTTGATGATGTCACCCTTCTCTATGGTTTAGACTTTTTGCTCGAAATTATCTATTGAGTAAATTGTAGTGTGCTCCACAAGTTAGATAGATAGAAGTACTCATCGTACCATAAAACAAAAAGATCATCTGAAAAGAAGAAGGTACGAAAAAGAAAGAATTCAATATAAAGTGACAAAATTAGAAATGTACAACTTTATAACAAATTAAATATACTGGAAGTATAAAATGCAATAAGGTAATTTTCTTACCTTAAAAGGATATTCAAATCCAACCAGTATGTTTTCATTTGCTATAAAGTTATCCATGTCACTAGTAAAATTGTGACCAATTTTAAATGTACAGTTTTTGTATCAAATAAATTGTACTGGAAATATATCCTACTCAGTTGGGGTATGTGCAAGGTATCAATCTAAGCCCAAAGAAAGCCATTTTCTAGCAGCAAAGAAGATCTTGAGATATCTCAAAGGAAATCCTAACTCTGGGTTACGGTATCCGACCAATGGAGAATTTGATCTATATGGATACTCAGACTCAAACTTTGCTAGATGCAAAATTGATAGGAAAAGCACCTCTGGAACATGTCAAATGGTGGGAGGAAGACTTGTCTCATAGTTCAGTAAGAAACAAAACTCAATTGCAACAAGCACAGCTGAAGCAGAGTATATAACAGCAGAGAGCTGCTGTGCACAAATACTCTGGATGAAACAGCAATTGAAGGACTATGGTGAGGAAACAAAAGAGGTTAGCATTCTGTGTGATAACACAAGTGCTATTGCTATAACCCATAATCCAGTATTTCATTCAAGAACCAAGCATATTGAGATCATGCATCACTTCATCAGAGAGCATGTTGAGAAGAAAACCATCAAACTAGAGTACATCCACACAGAAAAGCAGTTTGCTGACATCTTCACAAAACCCTTAAATGAAGCAAGATTCAATACTCTAAGACAAGAGCTTGGAATGCTTGATGATCTTGATTAACTTAGAGAATAATTCTGCATTAACTCAGGGGGAATTCCACTCAAGGAAATCCATGCCAAGAAAGGAATTCCCAAAAGCTTCAATTGAGGGGGAATTTCCAAAAAGGAACTCCTAAGGGGGAACAAGTACTCAAAGAAAAGAAATGAAACATAAAGGTCTGAAGAAAGAAGGAAACCAAAAAGGGAATGAAGCTCTATGGTCCGCATACAGAAGATCTCAAGGTCGTGACAGAAGGCTACCTCAAATAGAGGATCTCAAAGCTGTGACAGAAGGCTACTTCAAACAGAGGATCTCAAAATAGTGATAGAAGGCTACTTCAAACAGAGAATCTCAAAATAGTGACAGAAGGCTACTTCAAACAGAGGATCTCAAAATAATGACAGAAGGCTACTCCAAGGAGAAGGCCTCTAAGCTGTGACAGAAGGCTACTCCATGCAGAAGACCTCAAAGTTGTGACAGAAGGCTACTCAAAGCAGAAGGCTCTGCTGATCCTAGTCCATGCGTCAAATAATCAAATTCTCCAACAAAGATCTCTGAAAAGAAATCAATTGAGTTAATACGAGAATTTACGTCTGCATGCAATCTACAAATACGACACATGGTGATCCAACAAAGTCTTGGGAAGCAGCATTTTATTGATATTGTTTTTGAATGCAATATACCTTCATTATAATTGGTTGGAAGTCTTCTTAGAGTTTTTAACTCTTTAACCATTATTTGCAGATCGTACATCAGTGTTTTTTCATTGATGATGTGATAACGGAACACCATGGTGTCTCCGACTATTTGCCCATTTTATGTTATGTTCTATTACTGAGATTAATTGACTTGACGTCCCTATTACAGTGGTGCTTCTAACATTAAACATCATTATTGGACACAGCTCTCTTCAAACAAGTGACATCTTTCTCCAAGCAATTCTTGATGACTTCATTTGCTAGATCATTCTTGGAGTCCTAAGAAGAGCTCAGTCTCTCATCAGAAACGTCTCAAAGAGTTTGAACTTCAGTTCATTGGTAGAGAACTCACTCTGATTCGTACTACCTTGATTGGAACTTGAATAAATATGTTTCCACGAGCTAGACAACCTACCAAATCAGACTCACTCACGTGGTCTTGCTACCCATCATTTGTGTTGCATTACTGACAAGCACTCCTCAAGATCATTCTCATCAAAACAGTAAACAAAAAAAAATACATTATAGAGGAGACTTGGGTTGGACAATCTGAAACAGAAAGATGAAGCCCGTGTGAACGTAGATCTCAATAGAACAACCACTCCATAGGCTGCATCAAACCTCATTCATGATGATCATATGCAAATTATGGAAAAGTAGGATTTGAAGCAAAATTTTGCACATCCTTTCGAAGTTTTCAAAGGAGAGGTGATTTGAGATGAAGGGGAGATGACTACACTTTTCCATCAAATGGGAGATTACTACGAATCAAGACAAGACAAGACAAGATATATGTTTTGAGCATACGTAGTATAATACAAAAGCACTTTTCCATTGAGTGGCGGTGCTAATACAAATTCTTAACGAATTAACAGTGCTTTTCAGACTTTGTGTAGAATCTCAATTGCACTATAATGTGCTCTTTACTTCACACCTTGCAACCTATGTTGTAAGAACCGGACCGGGCAGGTCGACCCGGAACCCGGAGCCCAATCCGGTCCGGTTGGACCTCAACGCGTTAATTAGTCCGAAACCGGGATTACCCGCTAGCCCACGTTACCCGGCCCGGAACCCGGAACGGCCCAAACCCGTAAATTAGATAAAGCCCGGTATTAATCTACACAAAAACAGAAGAGAAAGGGTTTTGAACCCTGTTGGCAAGGGAGGAACCCGAATGTGTAACCATCAGACTACCTAGGCAACTTTGTTAGTGCCTTGCTTTAACTATATATATTACATATACCGTTTGTATGTGTCATTACACAAAAACTTGTTCATACTTTATAATTTTTTTTAATGAGCTTCTACGTTAATGATAATAAAAATACACTCAGTAACACATCAGTACGTACTATTGCTATATTTTCAATAAACATCATATTCATATTTATTGGTCATCTAATTCAAATTACATTTTATATTTTATTAAAAATTGTATATATTAGAATAATAATTTGGTTTTAAATGTTGACCGGGTTTTACGGCTTTGACCGGGTTGACCCGCTGGTTCCGGGCTGACCCGTGACCCAATCACTCGATCGGGTCGCTTCCCGGTCCGGTTTTTACAACATAGCTTGCAACTTGAGTCATTTGATTCTTTTCTCTCGCAAAACATTTTGAAGATCTATTTGGTGACCATGTTTTTGAACTCATCAACTTTATTAGCCATTAGTTTCACCAATTGCAACTTTAAATTCTCGCCAAAAATTGTATAATAATCAAAATGACTTTTCTGACTAATATAAATTAATTGAAGATACAAGTGAAAATTGTTTAACTATTTTCCCATATTTTGTTTCTTTATTCATTGATTATTCAAGAGTTTCAACCCATTTTAAGTGTTACCAAATATGCTCTAAATATACCATGATTGTATAGAAATATACTTCATAGATTATATTAATTTAGTGACCTCCTATGATGCTTCGTAAACATAACGAAAGCAATAATTAAGATAGATAAAGTTGACATTTGCTTAATTATCTCTCAAAACCTTCAAATCGTGAGGAACTCAACAAAGAGGTTATAACGGGCTTCGAAGGAAAAACAGTTAGCTATTATTACTAAACCTTCCACCCAAAACTCAAAAACATAAAATGGAGGAGCGTATACCTTAACAGCCCTTCCCTCCAAAACTCAAGCCCCAAACACTTCTTAAAACTCAGCTAACAAACGCACGCTATAGTTTTTGGGTGCGTTGTTCAAAAGGCAAAATAATCACACAATGACACAACGTTAATGAAGAAGGGTGGTATGAATTACTCCGTAATACACTACGCACTATTTGAGTATTTAGCATATTTAGCACTATCTCTGTCTCAATTTCATGACACTAGTTCTTATTCACATGATCAACACGAATCACTCTTAATCTCTTACTTTATATATCAACGAATCACTCTTAATTTCTTACTTTATATATCAAATTTGATAGGAATCACTCTTAATCTCTTACTTTATATATCAAATTTGATTCGGATGTTTGCGACATTGTAAAACTTTTAATTTAGTGTCTGAATATGCAGTTTTATTTTTATAAAAAGAATTGAGTGCGAACAAAGATTCATTTGCTTTATCATCAGCGTAAACCGCAATGGTATCATCAAATTGGGACGGAGGGGGCAATAGTGAACGTCAAAAACTTTACTTCGTACTACGTATTAATTAATAATAAAAACTAAACAAACAATTGTGACTACTCATTTTGCATTGTAAATATGTATTGCCGATTTCAAGTTTCCAGATAAGAGAGAATTGGTGAGACGGTGCATTTTTCTGGATTGAGTTGGAAAAATAAATGGAGTAGGCTGAACAAAATCCAAGAACCCAACAAAAAAGCCTAATAACCCATTTATTTACAAGCTTTCGTTAACGCATTCCAAAACATTCCGTTGGCAAGTGTCACCTTACATAACACTACACGCATTCGGGTTCTCATCGCTAAACATTTGAGGGGCAGGAGGGTAGTGGTAGTACATCGGGTCCTGTACATAACCCGACCCGTACATGTACGGGTACCCGACTTGAACCTGCATCCTGTTCACCTCTTCCACGCTCTTCTCTCCGCCACCGCCACCACCGCCTTCTTTCTTACCACCCTTCCCCTTCTCCTTTTCCGCCTTCTCGTTCCCGCCGGCGCCGTCTCCGCCTCCTTTCTCTTTCTTCTCTCCGCCTTCCTTCTTCGGCGGCACGACCTCAACCTCCCTCTTTAGGTGCTTCTTCAGATTCTCACATAACGCTTTCACGTCCATCGATCCCGTCACCGTCACCAATTCTTTCTGTTTATCCAGCTTCATCTCGTGACATCCTATTATGCCGTTAAAACTCCGTTATTAGAGAGAACAGAAACATTTAATGATTATTGCATTAAAGTTGCATCCAACCAGACTTTTAAGGATTTTAGTATCGATAATTTTTTTTACAAAATTAAATTTCTTTTGATTCTTCTATCAATTTTTGGGTGAATTATATGAGAATATGATTTCATAGGAACATCATTCCACTTAAATGTACTCCCTCTGTCCCCTAACAATGGGACGGAGGGTGTGACACGCAAATCAATAAAAAATAGTTTTTGTGGTTGATATTGAATTAATAAGAATGATTTAGAGGCACATAAACTTTATCAAATTTGGTATGAGACAATTTTAATGGGACAGATTAAAAAAGTAAAATTGAACAATCATAGTAGGACGGAGGAAGTAGTTGTTTTTAAAAAAATTACCAATTGCACTTTAAACAATAAAACATGCTTAAAAGTGTGCTTAAGGTTATTTCGTAGTATTTTTATTTATTTTATTTTGTGTGCAAGTTTTGTTTGAGAGATGCTTGTTTAGTTTAACATTAGAAATCCAAAAAATGGACTCAAATCTACCAATTTATAGAAATTATAAAAATCTATCCAAAATTTTAGAAAACAAAAGTGGGACACCGGACACCCAGAGTCCGTTTGGTGACACTTTTTTTCGGCTTATCAGGCTTATCGGCCAGATTTTTCACTAAACACGTAATTTTTTACTTTCGCGTGCTGAATTGTGTAATAATAAGAAAAAGTAAGGTGAAAATTACTTTTCTGGCTGTATTGGCTGAAGTTACAATGATACCTCAATCCAGATCATTTTAGCTATTTTTTCATACTCCCCCGTCCCAATTTACTTAGCCAAACTTGATTTTTCAAGTCAATAATACCTAACTTTGACTGATTATATATCTATATAGAGAAAATATTAATAATATAAAAATTATATGAAAATGTTCTTTGTTAAAAATACTATTATAAAAGTATAAACTTATTAATTTTTTCATAAATATATTGGTTAAAATAATTGGTCAAAGTTTATCACCTTTGACCGGACTAAATCTCTCAATGCTCACCTTTGGTTTTGTTGACGATCTTCTGAATTTTTTGAATGCATCCTTCGCAATGGAGATTGATCTTAAGCACAGTCGTCTTCACCACCGGCGCCTGCGGGCAAAAAAATCAGAAACGAAAATTCAAATCTGCAGTAAATGAGAATCACTGTTGTTGCAGAATGTGGAAGATTGCCAGTAATAATAAGTACTGTAAAGCGTTACAGCCACGCAATTAATGAATGCGAATTGAATTTATCAGTAACTGTCCTTTTTTTTCTTCTTCACTCCAATGCTTCTTTTTCATTCATTCATATTGATATTGATTTGGATTGGACGAATGAGAGAAGCGGTGATGTGAAATGCCTTGAAAATGGAAATGAGAATAATAAATTATTACCACATGCTAAGATGCGCTTTCGAAGTCATGGCTTTCAACGCCATTTGCTTTATCAAAGTGACTTTTCGTTCAGGAAAACTAGACATACCGAGATGTACGGTAAAGTAGTTGTCACTCTGAAGATCATACTTATAAGAAATAATTGAGGAATTTCAAAATCGGATTTAGAGAAAATAATTGAGAATTTTTTTGATTTTTTTTAAACTTTTGGTCTGATGAAAAGCTGTAAAAGACCTAAAAAAATTGACTGGATAACTGGATGCGGGAGGAAATGCTAAAATGCGCAGCGTGGAAGACAACGGTAAATAGTTGGAAGGGAAAAACAGAGGAGACAGAGAGAAGAGTATCAGTAGGGTACTATACCGCTTTCTCTTTTTCCTTTGCTTTTTTGTTGCTATCTTCTCCCTTATTCTCCTTTGAATCCCCGTCCTTGTTGTCCTTCTTTTTTGCCTTCTCACCTCCATCGCCGCCGTCTTTGACCTTGTCGCCGCCTTTGCTGGGCGGCTGCGGCGATACCAGTACCACTGGTTTGTGCGTCTTCGCCTCAACCTTCTCCCGGAGCGCCGTCGGATCCACCTTCCCCGTCACCGTCACCTTGCCCGTCGCACTGTCGACTTTCACATCCTCCACACCTTCTCCACACAACAAAATCACATCAGGTTCATAGACCGAAGGGAAAAAACAGAAATTGCAAAAACAAAGCAAAAATTGAACAGCCACAACCGTATAATAAATCTCTAAGAACAAAAACAGAGATGTTTGAAGCACGAGATGATGAAACCGGGTGAAAACTGGCTGAAAACGGTAAAATAGAGAAGAGAAATGGCGAGAAAGTGATATTTACCGTCATAGGCGCGGATAACTTTGACCAGTTTGGAAGCGCAACCCTCGCAATGTAGATCGGCCTTGAGAATAACAGAAATCTTCGTATCGCCGTCCTTCTTTCCGCCGTCGGTCTTCTTCTGTTCGCCGCCGCCGGCCTTCTGGTTCTTCTTCTGCGAACCGCCGAAGCATGCACACAGCATCATGGGTCAATATATGAGATTCATGAGTAATGATAGTAGCAGTTCATTCAGAGACATAAAAGGAGGGCATAGAATACTTACGGCACCCATTGATGAGGAGGAGATTAATTAGCAAGAGAGCAGAGAGATTGTTTTTCCCAGAAAGATATTGAAAAACCGATTGTGGCAGTGGGGGCGGTATGTGAATATATAGAACCGCCAGCGTGGGGAAACACGATTGTTGTGCACCTGTGTAGTGCGTGTGAGAAAGTGGACGATTTCCCGATGACTTGTCAATTTGAAGGGTCCTTGGAAATACTCCACCTACGCTAATGGTGTTTGCTATTGCTTTTCATTTAATTTCTACATTGGGAAAATAATCAAATAGGTACTCGAACTTTCATAAAAATGTCAATTAAGTCCTTCTATAGGAGGTTTTGTCCGGCCGTCGCGATTTGGGGCAATTCCCGGTGGAATTTTTTGATGAAATTTTTTAAGCATCTTATTCACCAAGTCTAGTTTACTCATACCAAATTTCAGCTAAAAATTCAATCGGGAACACATTCAAATTAATTCATGAAGATAACTGCACATTTTTGCGTTCTCGAATTAATTTGAATGCGCTCCCGATTGAATTTTTAGTTGAAATTTGGTATGAGTAAACTAGACCTGATTAATAAGATGATCAAAAAATTTCATCAAAAAATTCCACCGGAAACTGCCAACAATCGCGACGGCCGGACAGAGTCTCCTATAAAAGGACTTAATTGACTTTTTATGAAAGTTCGAGTACCTATTTGACAGTTTTCCCTTTCTACATTTTTCTACATTTAAAATTGATGAAGGATCTTATGATATGATGCCATTGTGACTAGGGGTGTAAATGGAGTGCAATTTTGTTCACCCCTCCATGAGGGTGAACATCACCCCTTAGCTCAATTGTTGCCATTTGGCATTCAATTTCTTTCTTTTTTTAAATTACAATAACTTTTTTATTTGGTGTTCAACTTTTATAAAAAATATATCAGGTTTAATAATTTTTTAAGATCTTTCCAATGATATCAATATTGTATATAAAAAAAATTAAAAAAAAATCTTTTTTTCTACATATTCATTTTTAGCTGATTTTTTTTAAAAATTTTTTATATGCAATATTGGTACCATATGAAAGATTGAAAAAAAATAAAAAATTTGATATATTTTTAGAAACATTTTAGATTAAAAAATAAAAAGTTAAAACAATTACTATATTATTACTAATTGCCTTGCCACATGGCAAGCAAATTGGGGGGGGGGGGGGGTGGTTATGTTCACCCTCCTTTGAGGGGTGAACAAAATTGCACTCGTGTAAATGAGCCAAGCCGCTCGCGAGCTGCTCGTGGATCGCTCGGGAAAAGCTCGACTCGAGTTCGGTCATATTAAGATCGATTCGAGTTCGGCTCGACTAGAATGGTTAACAAGCTCTATTCAAGCCTATTTATTTTAGGCTCGTGACTCGCGAGCCGGTTCGCGAGCTTTTGTGTCATATTTTATATATAATTAATATATATGTAATAATTATATATATACTTGTTTTGAAATATATATTCTAATGTAGGACTATTCCATTTTTAATACTTATCACAGAGTATATTATAATAGTAATAATTTCAAAAATAATAACATGTGCGTAGTATTATTATTATAACCATAATCTGTAATAATTATAATATGTACTCTTAATATTTATTGACAATAAAATAAAGAATATAAATGTTAGTAAATGAGAGATAAACTAAAAATGAGAATGAATAAGTACACATATAATATTTTTAGCTCGAGTTCGAGCATCTTATTCAAGTTCAACCCTATAAAATTAATTAGTGAAACTTGACTTGAGCTCGAATCAAGCTTGGATGGAGCTCGAGTCGAGCTCGGCTCGAGATCGAACTCGAATTATTTAACTCGTCCAAGCTCGAGATCGAGCTCGAACTCGTGAATTCTTATCAAGTTCAAACTCAAGCATACCCATGCTCGGGCTCGACTCGGCTCGTTTGCACCCCTAATTGTGACTCTCCAAAAAATTTGAGGGTTCTATTTGGTAACACGGATAAATCGGTTGGATCTGCTGAAATTTATGAAGTTCTGGTTGAAGTGGTTGTATTGACTGATTCTACTAATTTATGAAAAAATTATATTTAAAAATATATTCTATTAATAAAATAAAGAAAATTTATAGGAAAAAAGTTAAAATGGCTATCTACAATCACTTCAGTCAATATAACCAAAAAAATAACTACAACCTTACTTTTTCTTATTATTACACAATTTAACGCGTGAAATCAAAATTTACGTGTTTGGTTAAAAATTTAGCTGATAAGCCATATAAGCTGGAAAAAGGAGTCGTCAAACGGGCTCTGAAAGTCTCGTTCAAATAATGAAAGATAATGTAGTATTACCTCATCTCATAAAACTTAAAATAGTTTTAAAACTTTGACAGATTTTCTTATAAAATTATGTAAACTTAAAAATACGAATTTTATGTTTTTCCCTAAATAGGAGTAACTTGCTAACATATTGAAAATCACATAGATAACAAGTCAAAATATGGAACTACCGTGACTACGTCTTTCGTGCTTAGCTGAGTGGACCCCACCGCCTAATGCCACCACCTAACGCCGACAACTAACGGTAATCTCCTGATCCCCGGGTAAACTGCACATGTGGCACATGTGACATGGTGTGGCCTCCAGTTTTTGCTTTTTCTTTTTTCTTTTTTGCTTAGCTGAGTGGACACCACCACCTAACATCGTCGATAAACGGCACCGCCCTTGGTTCAGCAAAGACCCACCCTAATCACCTTCTTGTTCCTTTATCTCTTATAATTTCTTTCCTTTTCTTTCCTTCCTCTTTTTTCTTTGGTGTAAAAATTTATTGTGTGTGTGTTTGTGTGTGTACATGGAGAGGTATCAAAGGTGGAGGGCGGCTGACGAATTACAGAAAGAAAGAAAGAAAGAAAGAAAGAAAGAAAGAAAGAAAGAAAGAAAGAAAGAAAGAAAGAAAGAAAGAAAGAAAGAAAGAAAGAAAGAAAGAAAGAAAGAGAAAGAGAAGGAAGAAAATGAAAAACAAAAACAAAATATTTGACACGTCGCTGCATGTTTATGTATATCGGAGAACTGTTGTTAACCTCTTAAAAAGATGATTTGATATTTTTGAAGTTGGAGTACTTGATTGGATGATAATTGAGTTAGCTAGGTGGGGGGGGGGGGGGGGGGTCTTGTTTGACTATTTCGTAATAGTAGCAGACTTATTTGACAATTTTCTCTAATAAGTTATTAATCGGCATAGTGTCAAGATGAAGAATTGATTTAGTGAGTTAAATACATAATTACTCATATGTTTAGAATGTCTTGATCCTTTTCTCAAAAAAAGAAGAATATCTTGATCAAAAGTGCTTTGTCATGGATGTTGTACGGATTGGTAGATCCTTATCAATCTCCAGCCAAAATCTATGCAAAAGTGATTTTGCTATGGAAGAATTACACAATCTAGCAAAAAATGTGTTAATTCGTGTTGAATTAGTGTCTAACACTTGAATGTTTTTGCAAAACAATGTATTAAGCCTTCAAAGTATAATATGTAAATTTCGATTACTAAATAGAGCTGTGCTAATGAAAGAAATAGTAAATCAGAGTTGTACTTCCTTTTTGGACACAACAACATTATATTTCAAACAAGTACAAATAAATTTCGTAGTACGATGTGTAACGTTGGACATGATCACAATTTTGAATCGATACTCTAATTGTTAAAACTTAACAGTATGAAAAACAACCAGAATTCTAATCCAAAATCAGAATGGGATATTGATTGAAAGGGATATTGAATTTTTTTTCCAGATATAAAGTTAATACGTACATACCAGACGGAATAGATATGATTCACGTCCGACCCGCCCGACCCTTACCTGTGGTTGAAAAATTAAAAGTTGTGGTTGAAGTTTGAGTGTAATAAAATGAAATGGTGTAGGCCACATATTTCTTTCCAAAAAAGGAAAGGAGACACTTATTTTGGGACAACCCAAAAAGGAAAGTAGGACAGATAAAATGGGACGTATGGAGTATTTGGTAAATATCCGTTGCGTTTAGCTGGTTACACTTAAAACCCCAATCTTCTAAACACATAGGGTAAGAGTAACAGGATTTAATGAACATGTTAAAGAATTAGATACAATAGCAGAAAACATGAGGATAATATTAGATAAAACAATTGTAAAGATACCAATAATATCAAGAAGAAAATATGAAACAACAAATACTATTAGAAAATAACTTCTTAGATTTCTTCAAAACACAAGTAATAAAAAGTGATACAATAAGTCTATTAACTCCATGCAATAAATGGATCATATTAAAAAGAATACTACCAATACAATCATTAAGAATATATAATATGAAAACCGAAAGACAAAATAATCTAGAATTATTAAAACAAGAATATTTGACATTATTAAAAATAAATCTTGGAGAAAATCCAATAACATTATGGGAAAAAGAAAAAATATATGCAAAAATAGAATTGATAAACCCTAATGAAATTGTAAGATGCAGACCAATAAGATATAGTCCCACAGATAAAAAAGAATTTGAAAATCAAATAAAAGAATTATTAGACTTAAAATTAATTCAAGAAAGTAATAGCCCACATAGTAGTCCCGCGTTCCTAGTAAGAAAGCATAGTGAACAAAAAAGAGGAAAAACAAGAATGGTAATAGACTATAGGGAATTAAGCAAGAAAACAATATTTGATGGATATTTTCTACCATATAAAAGAAATTTAATAAATAGATTATCTAATAAAAAATGGTTTAGCAAATTTGATTGTAAAAGTGGATATTGGCAAATAAAACTTACTAAAGATTCAAGACAGTTAACAACATTTAGTGCACCTCAAGGACATTATGAATGGATTGTACTATCCTTTGGATTAAAAATGCACCACAAATATTTCAAAGAAGAATGGATAGAGTATTTAGGAATATGAACGAATTTTGCATAGTATATATAGATGATATATTAATTTATAGTGATAATTTAACAGACTATATCAAACATCTAGATGAATTTATAAAAAGTGTTAGGAAACATGGAATTTTATTAGCAGAAAGAAAATCAGATTTTTTTCAAAATAAAATAGAGTATTTAGGATATATTATAGATAGAGATGGATTGCAATTACAAGATCATATAGCAAAAAAGATAGAAAAATTTAAGGA